GGTACCACGTCTTCAACAACAAGATTATGTGTGACAGAACTCAAGTGGCTGAGCTGATCAACAAGATCGATGACATGGTGGCAGCAAATGGTGGGCAGCACTTCAGTGAAGAAATGTATAAAGAGGCAGAGCAGACTCTGCAGCAGATGAAGGACAGAGACACAGCAGAGCAGCAGGTTTACAACTTCTCCTTCATGTCTGACCTGCTGCAGAGGGTCATTCTGTTTCAGTCTATACTGGCTGCTGCTGCACTAAACTACACCAACAACCCAGACCACTCCATTACTGCCTCCGACTCCAACATGAAGCCTGATGTCTGATGGAAACTGCCTTCAGATCCTCTGAAGCAGAACAGTATGTAGAAAATAAACTGTTTGTACAAGCAGCCATGTTTAATGCAAAAACTGTTTATCCAGTAAAAGCACCAAACAGTTTGAGGTTTGTGTCAGGATTTGCAGCTTTTTCTGTGTTTCATACATTTGTAACTGAATATCTTCTGTCTTTATAATATTTAGGTCAAATCACAAGATGGTCCTTGCCCTGACACTTGATAAATGAAACAACAGTTTCAGAAACAACAAAGACTATGAGCAAATCAGTAGTAAGGCGAAGAACGAAACTTTTGATGTCTATACTTGTCTTCCAGTTTTTGCACATCCAACAAGATTTTTTTTGGTAAATCTTTTTTAATGTAAATTCACAAAAGGGAGATATACTGTATGTGAATGAAATGTGACTATTTGACCACATTTGCACTTGTACACATTAATATAATCTCTATTTATTGTATTTTGAATTATGGAGCATCCACACTTTTTTGATTCTGCATTGTCCAACAGCTATTTTGTGTCCATGACACTAATTATTAAAATGTATGAAAGTGCAGAACTGGAATCGTTATCAAAACAATTTCTGTAAATAGAAATACAGTTAAAAATACAGGAAAATGTAAACAAAAATCACTAAATAAAAATCAGCCACAGTAAAAATCATGCAGTAAGTTCTGGCTCTTTTTAATGAACCTGATTGCAGTCAGTCTTGTGCATACATGTGCACTTGGCACAGTTAGTGTGATGGTGGAGCATAACAATGGAAATGGTATGAGAAAATAGCTCAACCTCTGCCACTTCCTCATCGATACTGGAATAATACACGCTACATGTCAACTCATCACCTTCAAAACACCAACTCTTTTTTAAAGTTTTGTCGATGCATCTCCGTCACTGTCCTCGTCAGGCAGAAGTAATGATTTGCCATTGCTTATATTCTACACATTCTATAATAAAACCAACCGTTTCACATGATTATGCTGTGAAGATCGTCATCACATGCTATAAGTTCTAGCTCTTTATTAACTACACAGCACAGATCAGTCTATGTGGTTGTGCATACCACATGTACTGTGGAGGATAATAAGGTAACTCTCATTAGTATGGAGAATAGTACAGGCTCATGCCAGGGATAAACGTAGTCCATCACCTTAACCCAACCCCTTACATCAAACAAACAAACCTGACTCCTAACCGCAAACATCTGACATTTCTTCATATTTTCCGACAAGTAGTTGAAGAACCTGTCAGACAGAGACAGATGTTCAAGCCAAG